ACTATGTCGAGGAAATGCCAGGGTAAGTCACGCAGTGGGATTGTGTGATGACGGATCATAGTTTCACGCTAGGCAAGGTGGACATGATGGCCAATAGTCTTTAGACTTTACAAATAATTACATACAATTACCGTAGTACTCACGCGATTAAAGGGGAAGTTAAGGCAAAAATTAAGATTTCACCAGTTGTAGTCTTCGGGGTGCTGAGTCGAATGGTCTTGGTCCGAGAAAGCTGAGACGCTCCCTTCCTACTTGAATCCCAATCGAACTCGCGCACTTCCACCGAAACTGGGTGACTGCGCCCTACTAGATGGGGATTTGTATGCAACATGTCACTAAAAGCGCCATTTCGTTCTTATAAAAGTACGGATGACCGCGATTGGCCCATATGTTGTAGTCTTTTGGACGCTGAGTCGACTGGTTTTGGTCCGAAAAGGCTGCGATGCAGCGTTCCTCCTTTATTCCCAATCGAACATGGTTGAACAAGTGGTCACGTGCTCCTGGGTGCACAAATCACCTGGTCACCACGCCAGCAGGCGACAACTTTCACACCAAGGTTCAACTCGAGTGACAGGACTGCACTCAAAAAAGGTCAAACAGGCTAGTAAGTTGTACCCTGCAGGCACGGTGACCAGGTGACATGACTGGTGTATGCAGGAGCACGTGACCGCTTGTTCAACCATGTTCGATTGGGAATAAAGGAGGAACGCTACATCGCAGCCTTTTCGGACCAAAACCAGTTGACTCAGCGTCCAAAAGACTACAACATATGGGCCAATCGCGGTCATCCGTGCTTTTATAAGAACGAAATGGCGCTTTTAGTGACATTTTGCATACAAATCCCCATCTAGTAGGGCGCAGTCACCCAGTTTCGGTGGAAGTGCGCGAGTTCGATTGGGATTCAAGTAGGAAGGGAGCGTCTCAGCTTTCTCGGACCAAGACCATTCGACTCATCACCCCGAAGACTACAACTGGTGAAATTTTAATTTTTGCCTTAACTTCCCCTTTAAGCCTAGTTCACATTCGACGGGACGCGACGTAAGGATCGACGGGAAGCGACGGGACGGTCTGATAGCTGACGGCGTCCAATGTGAACACCAGGAACGGGAACGCAACCGTACTACCGTACAGATCGGGAAGCGACGGGAAGAGTTGGATCGATCCAACTTTTCATACCGTAGACGGGCGTAGACGGGGACGCAAGCGTACAAAACGGCTGCAATTCGAGTGTGAACAGGAGACGGCGTCGTGCGCCGACTGCTCCCGATTCGTACTTGGAAATTTTTAGCATTTCGAACACTGCGCTTCCCTTGATAACTCACAGAATGGCTAGCACGACTTGAGTTGAATTTTAGCAACATAAGATCTCATGTCACTTATTGTATTTAGGGATAGTTCAGAAGCGTGACAGACGAATTATTCTATCATTTCCTGGGGCTATTATTTGAATGCCACAACTTTCAGGGCTACTGTTTTGGTCTTCAGGAAAAACTGGTGTTGTGAACTTGATTCCGCTTCTTTCAAGGAGAAATAATTGAAAAGAAGTCCGAAAAACGAGAAATTAGGTCCGAAAGTCACCCCGGCACGGACCATGCCTTATGACTCGCGCCGTTCGACGTTGAACGTCGCAAGGTCGACGTTGAACGTCGCAAGGACTGCTCCACGTCATGTCGTACGAATCATACAGGATTTTACAGCTCACCCCAGCCCTCCCGACAAGCCCTTAGGTCCCGTACCGTCGGCGTTGCGTCGAATGTGAACTAGGCTTAAGTGCCCTATTCACGGGGCACTGTTTTGTCAAAGTCCATCACAGATGGGGTACTATGCAAGAGAGGGTACTATTTTTCCTTGAATGCTGGTGGCACATTTACGTGATCCAGAAACGGCAACGATAACTGAGATTATGATCCTGAAACCACCACTCAGGCACCAGTTCAACGACATGGACAAGAACATTACCAAAAGAACAGAGAGAGAGAGAGAGAGAGAGAGAGAGAGAGAGAGAGAGAGAGAGAGAGAGAGAGAGAGAGAGAGAGAGAGAGAGAGAGAGAGAGAGAGAGAGAGAGAGAGAGAGAGAGAGGGGAGCGAGAGAGAGAGAGAGACTCGGAGAGAGATAGCTCTAATCGCGCGAGTACGGTATTACCACCGGTAGTATCTAGAGTGCACAAGCCCTTCTAGTTCTACGGCCAGTGTTGGCCATGGAGAATTGCGGCTTGTTTGCTCTTTGCACTGTACCACGCATGTACATGTACATCATGGTATATCCACAAGCTACAATCACGATAGATGTGTGGCTAGGATACTGGTACATGCCATCTTGCCTTCTATTCCGGGAACAGTGGAGCAGTGTCTGCCGCTCTTGGATTTCAAACCAACCGGGTACATTTGCACCTGTCCCAACTCTTGCCGAACCGGGTCAGTCCCGGGTACATTTAAGTGCGACTATTGTACATCAGGGAATCTTAGGACTCCCTGATTGAGTCCCAGCTGGGTCACAATTGACCCAGTGGTCTTTGTCCAAGTGGGTCCCCCCCCCAACGCCGGGTACTGACCCGGCTCTGGAGCAGACTCTGAAAAATTGGTTGATATGGAAGTGTGCAGTGTAGTCTACGTCATTCCTCCTGGAGGAATAACATACTGCACACTTCTGTATCAACCAATTGCTCTGGCAAGCGTGACCAAGCTAAAAGACTTTCTCTTCATATCTCTGACCAGTTTCTGTCAGTCCAGGCTGAGCATTTTTTCTGGATCCTAAGCTATTTTGAGTTGTGGCTCATAATCTCTTCTTGCCTTGCCTTTCCCTTACTGCTTCTTTCGCTTTTATGGTATTGGGCCCAGTTCCCGTTTATTGTGCGAAGTCAAATAAACACAAACAAGCATGTTTGAATGGTACGTTGGTAAAGGCAAGCCCGGCTAAATGGAGATAAACAAACGCCTGTCCACTTGCACACAAGTTCTGAAAGCTGTAAAGTAGATACACGACCAGTAGTTACATTAGGGAGGTTCTGCTCTACGTTTTGGGAACGCGACGCAAAGAATCACGCGAACTTTCTTCGCGTTCCCGTAACGTAAAGAAATGCTGTTCTGCTCTACGTTTCACCTAGATAAGTCACGTGGAATGTGTACTGGGAATTTCCCCTTCCATATTTGGCAGTTTTCTGCATGCAGTTGATCGATACCCAGCAAATCTGTACGCATTTTCTCTGCGTGTGCCACAACGTAGAGAACCTCATCTCCGCGTAGAAATCTGGACCAAAAACACGCGAAGCCGTAGACTCTAACCCAGACACCTGCTCTCTACGTGATTTCTCTACGTTTCACGTATAGCAGAACCTCTCTAGCCTGGCCGCGGCACTGAGCTCTCCTTCCCAGCACCAGCACAATGAGTTCCAGCATCATGGTGCCTGGTCGATACATGGCTAGTGCCAGTGGTGGTAGGTACTAGGTATCTTACACAGCCGGCTGGTACACCAGGTAGCGCTTCACGCATAAACTGCATACTACACATACCTTACAGGCGCATGCGCCGTACGGGTTCCTGGGTGCCCGGAACCCCCCTTTTTTTCGCTCAAAATGCAGGATTTTGCTTCATTTTTTGAAATTTTTCCCGGGGCCAAGGTCCCCCGGAACCCCCCCCCCTTGAAGGGCACCGGCGCACGCGCCTGCCTTACAGGCTACAAAGGCAGAAGAGAACAGAGACAGCCGGCTAGGGCATTGTTGTAACGCTGCGTTTCATGCACATAGCAAAGCTAAGGCAATCCTCAGACAACTGAGTCAGTTGTCTGAGGATTGCCTTAGCTTTGCTATGTGCATGAAACGCAGCGTTACAACAATGACCTAGCCGGCTGTCTCTGTTCTCTTCTGCCTTTGTGGTAATGCTCCATCCTTGTGGTGTTGAGCACTCTAGGCAATCTGGGAACTCTCGCTATTGTGTTTGTACCTTACAGGCTATGTTGCTAAATCCTACACTTATTATTTACAAATGACACATTCTCCACCATGGACCAGCAAGAAAGACGCACCGGAAAAGACAATGACAAAACTGAGCTGTGAGGGGTGCTAGCTAACCGAGCTCAGCTGCAGTACAGCCAGCAAATAATTCTACTAAATGTCGTGTGCTCCCTCTGGAGTGAAATATTTGCCGGCATCATCCTACCACCACCCCCACAAACAACACACACACACACACACACACACTTGTACTTGTTGCTCACTGCCAAAACTGGTCACGTGGGTCTCCCCGGGAGAGGGGAGAGAGACTCAAAAGGAATCTTGGAAAGATGACTCAATGGCTATTGAACCGCCCAACGGCCGACACCCCCTGAAATCCCCAAAACTCTGGGTGGACTTGGAAATTATCCCACTTATGGGCTCACCACACCTCGGTAAGTGGGTGAGGACAAGGTGCAGAAAAAGGATTGACGGCATCAGGGTATCCGTCCAGGGATCCAACTGCAGTTACCCCTGCCCCAAGTGAAGGTAATACTTGCTACTAGTCTAGTGTGGGTGGCTAAATCAGAGTGGATCTGATATAAGCTTCACTAGCACCATTGATTACACAAGAGTTATACTAGCCAGAAGCAGTCCATGGTTAACAGGTATGTATACTTCGAAAGTATATGAACCCTGGAACCAACAAAGGTGGCAGGTACAACATTACACCTTCAAGCAGCCGAGCCCGTTGGCAACAGACCCAACACCGTGAATCAGGCATAAGTGTACCCATCAACCGAACTAGCTGACACACACACACACACACACACACACACACACACACACACACACACACACACACACACACACACACACACACACACACACCTACCTGCAGGTCTCGCAGATAGCACTGCAGCCAGTGCAGGTTGGGATAGAATTCGAAAATTATTTGATATTGTGACAAATACTCTTATGTAGGGTTTCCAATCTCTTCAAAGAAGAGGAGACTTGGGTCTATGAAAAGACTCACCTTCACATCCACATAGAAGAAGCAGGGGGCTGGGTCCAGGCTCTCGTGAACAGGCTTTTACAGCCCAAGAATAAAAATAGAGCACGGGGATTCATCCAATAGTCTAAATCTCAAGCTTGCCAACACCAGCTGGGGGAAATCGGGACAATTGACATATACGGATGCATACAGCCATCATCATGTTGAGGATGGCACAATGTTGAAGAAAAATATTATAATGAAAGCGTAGTGCTTGCCTTTCCAGAAAGCAGACCTGGGTTACATGACGATTATATTTTTCGTTGACAAGTTCCTTTTGGTATTGTGAAGTGGTGCTGAAAAGGAAAGTGCAAAAAGGATCAAGTAAACAGCAAACCAGCTGCTATCTACGGATGCACGCATTCACATCGGTGTGAGTGGTTGTATACTCTATGCAGCGTCATCTTCACCTGGATCTTCCTGCAACTCTCCATCCGCTGTGTCAACGCCGACCTCTTCATAGTCCTTCTCAAGGGCTGCAAGATCTTCGCGCGCCTCGGAGAACTCTCCTTCCTCCATGCCCTCGCCGACGTACCAATGGACGAAGGCACGTTTCGCGTACATCAGATCAAACTTGTGATCCAGACGAGCCCATGCCTCGGCAATGGCAGTGGTGTTGGACAACATGCAGACGGCACGCTGTACCTTGGCCAAGTCACCACCGGGTACAACAGTTGGTGGCTGGTAGTTGATGCCGACCTGGGATGAGAAAAATACACAAAAAGCGAAAAATACACAAAAAGCGCCACAAACAACACAAACACCACAAACAGAGCTACACATCTACACTCGGAGGAGAGACAGAAGACAAAGCATTCCTACTACTGCTATGCCAGTGCGGGGCGAGTACATGCAATGGTCTGCATTTTCTTCCTCCACTCCTGCAGCACACAGACCTTGAGGAAGAAAGAGTGAGGACATGAATTGCTCAATGTGCTTTCTAGCTATCCTTCCATGCTGCACGTTGTGCAATATACACACATGTTGGCATCATGGGTACATGCACGTCATGTGTGGCATCATCCTGTTAACTACAATCACCTTGAATCCTGTTGGACACCAGTCAACAAACTGAATGGTGCGCTTGGTCTTGATGGTGGCAATGGCTGCGTTGACGTCCTTGGGCACCACATCGCCGCGGTACAGCAGACAACAAGCCATGTACTTGCCGTGCCGAGGGTCGCACTTCACCATCTGATTGGCCGGCTCAAAGCAAGCGTTGGTTATCTCGGCGACAGTGAGCTGTTCGTGATAGGCCTTTTCTGCAGAGATGACCGGCGCATATGTTGCAAGGGGAAAGTGGATACGTGGGTACGGGACAAGGTTTGTTTGAAACTCAGTCAAGTCCACGTTGAGGGCTCCGTCGAAACGAAGCGAGGCTGCAGAGTCAACAAACACCCATGTAGGCAGTTGGATGAGCAACACCAGCCAAAGCATTACATGCAGACAGTGATAAGATTCACATCCAAGTCATTAACTTCACCATGCTCCCAAGAGCCTTGCAGTAGTACAGTAAGATCGGGCGCCGAAGAACGCAGGGGCTCGAGCGCAGCCTAGGAAAGTTCTTAAATTTTTGATTCTAGCCAGACCGTTCTTATTCACACGCGCGCGGCGAGTCGAGTGACGTCATGACGTTTGTCATGTACATGTACTTCTAAACTAGTGGATGTCGTAAATGGGAATGACTGTACATGTAGCAGTTACTGTTTACATGTGTACATGACATGTACTCACCTCCCATACATGTACAATGTAGATCTACGTACAATGTAGATCTAGTGTTCTTAAATCTGATAATTCTAGCCTGGACTGTTCTTAAATTTTGCCGGTTTTCCAGCCTGGGTGTTCTTCGGCGAGGTGTTCTTCGGCGCCCGATCTTACTGTACTGCATGAAGAAGGCCTATGTGAGCTTGTATCCTCAATCCAACACGAACTATGAAACAAAGAAGAAGTATCATCAACGACGACACCACAGCTTAGTGGTTGGAGCTTCACTGGCCATTACTATGGCATTAGCGAGGGTCCCTGGTTCGAGTTCCAGTGGTGCAGGCAATTTTATTACTTTTATTACATTCCTGTTTCAACTCAATCAACCTTACGTATTAGTACCTCCAATCCACATTCATAAACACAACTGCAGGCATGGCCATTACCATTAGTTGTGTCCACGCCGGCTCCCAGTGTCTTTCGGGGTGGGGGAGAGATACCTCACGATTTGTGCAAAGCTCTGTTGATATAATCCAATTACTATGCCATCAGATCACAACCTACCAGTGATGGAGGAGACAATCTGGGCAATGAGGCGATTCAGATTGGTGTACGTCGGCCGTTCTACGTCCAGATTGCGCCGGCAGATATCGTAGATAGCTTCATTGTCCACCATGAATGCACAGTCGGAGTGCTCCAGTGTGGTGTGAGTGGTCAGCACACTGTTGTACGGTTCTACTACTGCAGTAGAGACCTGGCCAAGGTATATACACAAGCATCGGAGTTCAGGTAAGGTGTACGGAATAGTGTACATGTATCTACCAGCCTGCGGGCATCACCGCAAATCGGCTCGTATTGCACAGGTCATGTAATGGTAAAACTCAGCACACCGTGTAGTCTCTTAGTCACGTCAGATCATTATTTTTTCCTGGATCATAATTATTGTTGTTGCTCGGCCAGTTATGTTCGGTCAGTTATGTTACATTGAGAAGTACGAGGGAGAGAGAAAAGCATTGACAACAGACATGCCTCCAGTCCAGTAGTCACAACACGTGTCACTTCAAGTATAGAGTTTCAGCACATCAACGTGCCGAGTGTCTCTGTGTGCATAGTACTGATTCTCGGCCGCAGATGTACAATGGCCCGAGTGCATAGAGCAGTACAGCTGGCTTCCTTGTATGCCGCAAGGACGCAGTACAATCAGCACGGGTAAAGCAGTTACACTTACCTGCGGCGCAGGGTAGATGGCAAACTCCAGCTTGCTCTTCTTTCCGTAGTCAACAGACAGACGTTCCATGAGCAGTGACGAGAAGCCGGATCCAGTGCCACCGCCAAAAGAGTGGAAAATGAGAAAGCCTTGTAGTCCAGTACACTGGTCCGCCTGTGCAAAGTGAACAGGCAGTAGACCATGAGCTAACCGTGCAGTGTAGCTTAGCTCCATAACATTTAGCTGCTGCTTCTGCCAGGATTTCACATCTTAGCCGCATATGGTTGCACATGTACTGATCTCGTATCTATCTACACTTCTTCTGTTGTTTAGCAGACTGTGGCACGGTTTGATGAAGCTAACATTCCATCCATACGGAATTTCTAGGATTTGAGATTTTTTAACATCCCGAAATGGGGATTAGCGTAAGTGCCCACATAAAGTGTAATCAACATCCAAGCATCGCATAAATCACCATTCCTAAACCGATCGCCTGTTTGAAGCCATGCTTACATAAGAAAAGTGCTTTCCGAGAAGAATCGTAGATACGGGGTGAGACGCTACATATTGGCAGCAGAAAGTCGTTTGTCACCATCCTCCGATCACTATCTCTGCTCAGTTCACAAAACCTAATCTCCGTGTGCAGTACTTACCAGCTTACGGATACGACCCAGGACAAGGTCAATGATCACTTACCAGCTTACGGATACGATCCAGGACAAGGTCAATGATCTCCTTGCCGATGGTGTAGTGCCCACGTGCGTAGTTGTTGGCTGCATCCTCCTTGCCCGTGATCAACTGCTCAGGGTGGAACAGCTGGCGGTATGTACCGGTACGTACCTCATCTGTGAGGCAAAGGGTTTACAACACACACTATAGTCAGTACTAGTGTGTAAGAGATGCAGTCGGCACACTCGATATGCTGGCGCTTTAATTTAAACTGCAGATGCAAGATTGGGAGAACTTGAACTCATTTTCAAGTTCATTTCTAGTTCTCCCAATCCTCAGTCAAATTGCACAATTCTCCATTCTCCTCTTCCGTGGCCAACGTGTCATCATCCCTGCATCCCAGCGCAACGCTGCCCTTGGCAGTGCTCACGAGGGTCATCAAGGCGTTGGTAAGTGTCGTGCTCGTGCGTGTGCTGTGATGTGGTGGCCTGGTATGTCTACGGACATTGAGTCGTATGTGATGTCTTGTGCCACCTGTGCCAAGGCCCGTCCTAACCCAGCCGAGCCGCTCATCTCGTCCGAGTTCCCATCTCTTCCATGGTCAAAGATCGCGTGTGATCTGTGTGCAGCCAAAGGATCCACTTACCTAGTTGTTGTGGACTATTTCACTCCTGGGTCATCTGTCCTCCGAAATCGTCGCCACATGCGTGCGTTGCCATCCACGTCAGCCAAACGCCCTGATCCCTCCCGCTCACCCTCCTCCATTGAGCCCATGTATGAGGTTGAGTATGATGTTCCTGCTCCCGTGCATGTTGCCCTGCAACCACCAGCTAACTCTACTCTGCCACCTCTTCTGCCTGTGCCGCAGACTCCTCGAGTTGCTAAGCCTCTGCCACCCGGTCGCAGACCACCATCCAACCGTGTTCGCCATGCGCCTCAACGCTATGCTGCCAATACCTGAACACAGTAACACTCTTTACTTCGTGCGCTCCATTTGAACTATGGCTGTGTTCTTTTCATGTTTTTTTTCTTCTATCATTCTGAGTAATGCTCACTCTGGTACCCACTCCAGACCTGCTCTCGTTCCTTTCCCTCTCTCCTTTGCTCCACACTTTCTCGTGCCCCTCCGTTCGCATTTTTTTCGGGGAGAGATGCACAGTCACCTACCTGTGCCTATATATTTGGCATAGTGCATCCATATGTAATTTGACCACGCTTCCTATTTCACACCTTCGCGTACGCACATGCACCTCGCATGCACCAGCGGTAACTGTTGCGTGCCTGTGCTGTTTACATGCCTACTCTGTTCCCTGTGTTCTCCACTTCTCCTTCTGTCTTCATCAAGTATAGTTTGTAATTCCTACCGGAGGGTGATGGTGGTGTTGGACTGAGAGAGTGTGCATGGGCATTTACCCTTAGTGCTGTTGCAATAACGCAACATTGAGCAGTCAGGGAATAGGAAAGTTCTTTACTCGGTCTATATGTTCTGTAAAAAGCAGTTACTGGCACAGGACTGAGGTAGATCTACATGACTGTACAACGATAGACTACAATATTATGTACTGTCATTGCATTGATTGCTTATACCTAGGCCGGTGATATTCACTCCCATACCTTTCATGCAGCCAGGAACCGCACTTTCACTATTATTATAATTATACAAACCTCGGGGGACCTCGGTTGTTATACTAGTGACTATCAGCCAATGCTCACTTCGGCTTCTGGTAATATTACATGACTTTTTTGTATACATACCGGTATTTAATATGGTCTTACCGATGACCGTTGGCTCCAGGTCTACGAACACAGCACGCGGGACGTGCTTGCCAGCGCCAGTCTCGCTGAAGAAGGTGTTGAAGGAGTCGTCACCGCCTCCGATGGTCTTGTCCGAGGGCATTTGTCCGTCAGGCTGGATGCCATGTTCAAGGCAGTACAACTCCCAGCACGCGTTACCAATTTGCACTCCGGCCTGCCCGACATGGATGGAAATACACTCACGCTGCATATTCCCCAACGAAAAACATGCACACACACGCACACACACACACATACGCACAAGTTCACGTATCGAGCACAAGCACACATGCATGCCAGGTGAGTGCAAAACGCAGGCACAAAAACAGTATCGCCATAAGTGAGGGACAAGCGGAGAGACGAACGAACTTCCGAAACGCCACTGCAGTCGCCGCTTGAGAATTTCTCGCTTTCAAGCCACAGTACATACAGGAATACCAAGCAACGCCGTACTGAATTAGTTAGTGGATGAAAGCCAGCAGGAAGTGAGCCACAGCCAAAACAACATACCATGATGACGATGATGAGGTGGGTGTCAGTGCTAGCGGTCGAAACGAAGAACCCTTTCGTCAAAAGCAAGGATTGACAAGAGTTGATGTTTACGGAACTGCAACGTTACAATGAACGACTTTTTCTCGTTGTGAACCTGTTCCGCTCAGATGTGCTTCTTCAAATAGCGTTCCCTGGCCAGAGCCAACACACGGTCGGGGGATCCAGTCGGTAAGCATGAAAGGTGTATCACACTGAATCGACCGCCAAGAAATGTCGCGCCGTGAACATGGTGAACGACGTGTACACTTGTAGTTGTACTAGGTGCATGCGGAGATGGGAGGAAACCACAGACCCACAGCCACCGGGTACGGGTGTGAATGTGTGTCAAGTCAGTGCGCAGCAGTGCAGAGCTAGAGCTAGCCGTGCAAACTACCAGTATGGCAGTAACGACACTAACGACGTAACAACTCGTGTTACTTCTTTCACCATGTAATTGTTCACCCAACGTCAAAGACAGATATTTGACCACAATCTGAATCGTGTGTATGCATACTGATCTGGTGATGGCCAATAGTGGCAATAGTAATACATGTTCACTAGTTTGAGGGAAAGAGACAAACATGTACTGGTATTTCCCTCACCCGCGGCGCCATTTCAGCGGTACACTTGAGTGACCATGGTGACGGGGCTGGATTTCATTGAGCAGAACTGTAGTGTGTGAACGTTCCTTCCTTCATTCATGTGCTTGTGAAGTAACAAGTAACAGTTACTCACTGAGCCCCCCCCCCCCCCCAAGATATTTTAGGGAGAGCACAAGGGGAGGGGGGGGGGAGAGTTGTAAATACTAGATATTATGTAAGGTTCGAAGTGTACTGCATGCAGCATTGCTACTTGTCAAGGGAACGCCTTAGTGGTAGATACATGTTTGTGTAGACGGCATGAAACAGAGTGGTTCAGGCTGAAAACGCGGAAGAGCCGGTCGAACAGCAATAATAATAATAATATAACAACAACAATGATTGGCAACCAAATGCCAAGAAACGATAAATGCTCAGGCTTCCACGCCAGTTCATCAAAATAATGCCCCCCTCCCCGCTCACTAGTCCAAGGTGGTGGTCTAGGGATATGTACACAGTCATCACTGCTCGAGCTGATGTGACTAGAGTGGTACAAATATAAAATTTAATTCAATACAAGTACAGTCATGTACAGTGTACATGACTGTACTACATGTACACTGTAACTGTCATGTCCGGGGATAGGAATGAGGACACATTATTTGCCTGACCAATGGAGCTGGGCATGATTCTATCAAACTCTTGGGGAAAACAGTAATGAGTAGAAAGTACGATAATAATTATCATCGCGCACGTGTGCTGCTTCAAATTGCGACAATGATGAAACAAACAGACTTTTGCAAATCTCTGGCATGCATGTACTTCAAGATACACTCATTGGAACGGAGGGGGTGGGGGTGGGGTGGGGGTGCACTGAGCCATAAGCTGTCAAAACTGACCTTTTTGCATTATGGAACATTTGAATTATTGGTATAGAGTGGCACATGGATTAGTTCTTAATTCAAGGATGCCTGTTGCAACGTTCCACATGACCTGCAGCAATGCTCTGCATCACTATAGTCGGGCACACACCGCCTGATATCGGTCTCAGATTATTCACGCCACCTGGTCGGCCTCAAGGTAGCTCTTTCCCTCACTGACAAACAAATCTTCCATGCGATATTCGATTGCCTCGAATGTTGGCCTCTCCGCCTCGTCTTTTTTCCAGCAGTCGAGCATCAGCGTGTAGAGTGCATCAGTGCAGGTTGCTGGCTTGGGCATACGGTAGCCTCGCTCGACCTACACACACACACAGTACACACCACAAGACAGTCACAAGAACATGACGTGTTACCGCGGGATTGCAATAGCACACAGAATAAACCCAAGGTGCAAAAAAGGGGACGAGAAAAACATGGCCTGCGCTTGGACACATCATTGCCCCTCGCAGTACATTGTGCATACCCTGTACTTTCAAGTAACGTTACAATCATATACATGCACATGGATTTCCAAACTACAAGCAATACTTGTATGTAAGGAACATGACTCCATGAAGCATGTGCAGCATCATGCAATGGTGATTAGCGCTCTCCCAGGGTAATATCCGCATCCACGTGTAAGCTGCACTGTACCACCCCCCCCCCCCCTCCTCCCAGCTCATTATTTGTTTGCATCTTGAAGTGCGAAATTGGACGCGTTGCGGAAAACTAATAAGCTGTTAAGCCAAACTCAGGCCCAGGGTATAGTTTACATCCCACACTCAAGTGACTGCTAGGATCTCCATCGCAGAAATTGCAAGACAATACTCACTACAGCATCTGCTGTATATTTACCACACAGCAGCACGATGCTCCAATGCGGAGGATTGCTGTGTAGGTAACTGATGTTACTTTAGTAACCATCAGTTACGTCTCCCATAAATAATTGTCAGAATGTAGATGTACGTAAGACCAGTGTCCTTACCTGAGCAAGAACTTCAGCATTGGTCATCGTTGGGTATGGCGTGCGTCCATAAGTGACCAGCTCATACAAGAACACACCATATGACCAGACATCCGACTTGATCGTGAAGATGTTGAAGAGGCATGCTTCCGGAGCAGTCCACTTGATGGGGAACTTGGCACCTTCCCTGGCAGTGTACTCATCATCTCTTACCAGGCGAGACAGGCCAAAGTCACCAACCTGTGTACGGGGGAGAGAGAGACACAGAGAGAGAGAGAGAGAGAGAGAGAAAGAGAGAGAGAGAGAGAGAGAGAGAGAGAGAGTGAGTGAGTGTATTTGCGTGTGTGCGAGAGTGAGAGTGCGATGACATGACGCAGGTAAGAGAACGATATTGCCGAGTAGCAGCAGACACATACATGTAGGGAGAGATTGCGATGCACACCACATGGGTTTGGTGGACGTGTGTATCGGGTGTAATCCCCGCAACGCCATGGCACCTGAAAGGGCCACACATGTGCGAGGGTACTCTCATGTGTGCACACGCACATGCGTCCAAGTACATGTACTGTGTTGCTAGAATATCAAATCCGAGCTGTGCGATTTCTGAACCCAAGTATGTAGACGCACGGGTGTTAGCCTTCAGGTCAAGTGCATCTTAATCTCTTTATTACTATTAGCTGGGAACAGGAGCACAGACATAAAATTCAACACGAAAGTGACTAGTTTTAAGTAAAGACTGTGTCCCCTCTGCATGGCATAGCATTACTGTTGACAGGGGAAGGAAAAAGGATATTGGCTTACCTTGACTATGTTGCCATGTCCTTTGAGCACATTGCGTGCAGCCAGATCACGATGCAGATAACCCTGTGCCTCCAAATATGCCATTCCACTAGCCACCTGAGAGGATACGTATAACAATACACATCATCCGTCATCACAGGTGAGCAGGTATATTTTTCTGGCAAAAGGAACTTAAAGTACCTAATTTTTGACGGACAGATGAAGTCAAAGCATACTGGAACTGGGCCAAACTTGCTACTGCTGACAAGAAGCAATGTTCGCTATTAGAGCTTACCTGAGCACCCATATCAACAAGGTGGTTGGCCTTCAAATTCTGGCCAGCATCGTCTTGGAGAAATTTCAGTAGCGCCCCACCCTCCATGAGCTCAGTGACAATATAAATGGGTTCTTCCTGCGAGCACACGGCGTAGAGCTGAATGAGGCGAGGGTGCTGCAGTTTCTTCATGATGGCCGCCTCCTGGAGGAACTCGCTGGGCGTCATCGTGCCGGGCTTCAGCGTCTTGATGGCAACGCGAGTCGTGTTGTTCCATGTGCCTTCCCATACCTGCAGCATTCAGTCAGCAATCAACCAAAACTATTCCGCAAAAACTCCTTCAAGTTACACAGGGTTACAAAAAGGACCATGCAACGGCAGTCTACAGAAGCAAATCTAGAGAACTATGTAGGAACCATATTTGATTTTGATCTCTGATCTCTTTGGCCTCAACTCCACTATGATAGGCAAGTTTGGGCTGATTAAAAATGAATAGCTGGGCCCGGCTCAGCTACTCGGCCGGTACTATTGGTCTAAGTGATGTGACTATGAGTCCCTAGGCCCCGGTGGTATTCTCTCTGTATATTGACTGTGTACGTCGTGCACATCCACTAGGAGGTATGGTGAATCTACAGACCTCAGCTCTCCGTGACTGTGCATATCTGCATACATCCATGCATGGCCCTCCCGTCAGGACCAAAATAGGCAGATGCTGCTGAATGTGTGATGCTTTCTTGTCTGCACCCTCCAACAGAGAGTACCGGATGAGATTGGTAGAAATGGCTGGTGGGAAAAATACTCCCTTCCGAACTTTCGTTACAAGTTTCATGCCGTGACAGTTCACCATCCTTAACCACCAGCACCAACTTGCCCCTTTCTTCCCAGCATGCATGATCAAGAGCTTAAGGCTATAGTGACTTACCTCACCAAACTGACCAGCACCCAGCTTCTTGACCATGCTAAGTGTGTTCCTCGGGATCTCCCACTGATCACGCATGGAATGGCTTAGGCTTGTCAGAGCCGGTTTGGAGGTGGGACAAGGCTGCAGGGTAGAAACAGGGACCACAATCGCGTAAATACAAAAATAGGGCAGTTCTAGTACATGCTTCACTATCAGCTAAGAAAGGTGGCATGGACCATGCAAACCAGAGTGCTCCATATCTGATGCATACTTCGTATATGGCTCCACAACAGCAATACAACCATGTACTTGCAAATCAGGTACTCGTAACAAAACGCTTCCAGTGATCTCTGTTGAAATTCTATCAAATATTCTAGGCAAACATTATTTCGCCAATGACAAACAGTCATTGAGGACTAAACTTGAAGTTTCATGCGAATCCCAAGGGTAAAAATGGGTTCATGCACAATGGGTAAACCCTATGGTGTATGCACCTGCAAGCACACATCCAGATAGCTACAGACACCTTGTTTGATCAAGGCCCAGTAGGAGGACAATGAGGCAGAGCACAGGGCAAGCAGCAACATTAAGCCCAATGCAGAGCTGTATAACACGATCAATGCATGCACCACTGCTTACCTCAATCAAACGGAATGCCAGGCCATACGCTTCTGTTCCGTAGAACGCCACAAGCTCCTGCAGCGTGTGGAACGTGAACTGCTTGGAGATGAACATGCCGGAGCCATCGTCCAGCATGCGAATACGGTAGTGGCGAATGGCCTCGTTGTCGCGCAGAGACAATGAGTACGAGTTCCCCTGGCTTTCTGATTGGCGGACAATAAAGGAACCCGGGCGTCCGTAATTTGTCAGGTGCCGCTCTGCATCCTGTCTCTTCACCGGACCAAAGAACCAGCTAAACGCAGACAAGATTATAGAAGACACAGGAGTACGAGTGTCACTCATCATAGCCAATCACAATCTGTAATAATCATTGCATGAATACTGCAGGAGACAAGCGGCTGTTCATGCTGTAGCTTCAAGTTAGTTTCATGCACTGGGTGATCATGCACTGGGTGATCATGCACTGGGTGATCATGCACTGGGTGATCATGCACTGGGTGATCATGCACTGGGTGTTTCATGCACTGGGTGTTTCATGCACTGGGTGTTTCATGCACTGGGTGTTTCATGCACTGGGTGATCATGCACTGGGTGATCATGCACTGGGTGATCATGCACTGGGTGATCATGCACTGGGTGATCATGCACTGGGTGTTTCATGCACTGGGTGATCATGCACTGGGTGATCATGCACTGGGTGTTTCATGAGACATCAGTCACAGCCTGTAACTAACTTAGCATGGTAGCGACCACACGCACACAGCCGTGTGGCTTCATGCATGTGACTGAATTTATCATCATTGTTACGTCACCGAACAGTTTGGTAGCATTTTTGCTCATGGTTTGCAACATGTCAAAGGCCAGCAGCATGGCTTACCCAAGCACACAGCTACAGAGTAGAGTGATGCTGTCACTGCTCATCCACTAGGCCGTGGAAGCGCAACACAAGGATCTTTATGTGTATCAGAACCATGGACTGTTTTTATCACGCCACAGAACCATACTATGCAGTCCACGACTAGCATATCGTACAGACAAGATGAGAGAGCTCCTAGCTCAGGGCCCTCACTATTTTTGGTCTTTACCTGCGCCTTTGCATTTAATGGTGCAAGAGATGTACCTGTAATCCGCGTTGAAAAGACGTTCCTATCAGTTTGTATTTAACACACCTGATAACCTGGGTAAAGACCAAGCCTAGCGAGAGCCCTGCACAGGCAGCTCTCTCGCTTCACATGTGGTACGTGTGACCTCCCACCGGCCCTTTGGGCTTACCAAACACTCGCTAGACACAAGCCGGTGCTGACACGTATTCTAAGGTTCTTGGCCTCTCGCATGATCATTCATGTGACATGCACCAGCGCGTGCACCTAGTATGTATGTTTTCTGCTCTGCTCATGCTGAAAATACTTTTGGTTGCTGACGTGATCGGCCACATGACGAGTCACGCGAGATGACTGCCCCCCCCCCCCCACACACATACCACACTTACAAATTTACACACACACACACACACACACACACACACACACAAATATACGAAATAAAGCGACAAGGACCCTGGATACGCCAGACGCTATAAACTACGTAAGGGGTCGTCCGTATTTTTCGAAAAATTAAAAAATCCGTCCTCAGGCAGAAAGGGGGTGGGTGGTCAAGAGCGCTGGCGGAATTTAATTTTTCGATTTTTCGTACTTTTTTTTTCGTCAGTGACTTTCATACACTTGTTGTACTGACATGTAGTGCACTGTAGACGTAGTGTAGGATCGCGAACACCAGTATGATATACCGGTACATGACTCTTTTGTAGTTGTAGGACGCGCATGGCCGTCGGTAGACCTCCTCACTTTACTTAGCTACTAGTACTTGACATACATGTACATGTACATGTAGGTGCAATCAGTGAACATGGGGTCAGGACTCAGGAGTTCTTATTTTCGAGCTGGGCATCGGTAAAAATCAAAAAATTAATGGGAAAAAAATGGGAGTTGGGTGGGTGGGTCAGAGACAATTTTGCACGAAGACGGATTTTTTAATTTTTCGATAATTACGGACGACCCCTAACATCTCTTTTTTGCTTAGCTCCGGGAACAAACAAAATCACGCTCATGTCCCCCCAGGTGCCTTAGGCTGTGGCCGTGACACCATACTCCAACACGTCAGCTCCAATCATGTATCGGTCAGATTTGTAGCGTGCAATGCCCCAAAAGGAAACTCACAGATCACAGAGCAGTGACTGACAGGATCATACCTTTCCCTGTAGGTCACAAGAGGTGCAGGTGTGTAGCCAGAGGTTAGGTAAGGGACGGACATTCCATTGGGATACCGATGTCCACCGTCATCACTGCTACCAGCATCACCAGCAACAGCAGCAGCGGCAGCAGCAGCACCGCCTCTGTGTTGCTGCATGGCGTGCAGCGACTGTTGTCCACCAATAGCCACCACTGCCCTGGGCATGCTGACTCCCTGCTGACCAGACTGGTCACCTGCTGGTGTAATGCTGGACGGTCGCTCTCCATTGGCCACCAGTGGCTCTGTACTCCTCGACTCCTGCACTCCCCATCTGCTGGGTGATAGTCTGTGCGCAGGATAGTGCTGTGTGCTAACACTGCCAGAGCTGGTGTTGCTGTGGACAGCTAGGTGGTTGCCGTGTAGGGAATGCTCTGTACCACGCGCTACACCTCCATTCTGTACATGTCCACCACCACTTACTGAGCCCGAGGTCGATCTACTCGTCGACAGTACTCCTCCTCCTGCTGAACTAATAGCACCACTGCTACCTCCCACTCCTCCTCCTCGATGCCCGCCTCCACTGCTGATGGAGAGCTTCGACGTGGCGCTTGACAGTTGGTGAACATCCACCGCGTCCAGGTCCCCGCCACCACCAGCCGGTAAGCGAGGCGGAGAGCAGCGACACCTCTGCGGAAGCATCAGCAGCGAATGGCGCTGATGTGATGGTCGCGCACGACCGCGGATCCGCTCCTCCGACGTCGACACTGGCGGCGGACGTGGAGGCCGAGCTTTTCGTTTCGAGGGCGCTCGCTCAGCTGACCATGACCTTCGCCGGCTGCTTTTCCAGAACTTGCAACAGTCCATCATCTCCTCGGTCTCTACTCAACGCTTTGCGTGGACTCAGTTTTCTGGGCAAGCATTCTACTGCAGACCTTTGTTCTGGCTAGAGTCGAGAGAAAGACCCAGGCAGTGTAGATCTACGCACGCGCCTTGGCTTGACTATTGCTAGTGCCTGATGATCGACTCTGCGCTGCACGGAAAAGACGAAGTGAAAACATGCCGCGCACAGGGGATGTTGGCGTCGATGAACTGCTTGCGCTAACGATAAATGCAGTGCATGGGTCAGGCGCTCGTCCATAGCTAGCTGCTAGCATTTCGGATACTCGACCGTGTTGGCCCATTGCGAGTGTTGTGTAAAACCCCTAAACTTCCACCGGTGCTCGTTCATCGTAATCGCTACATCATCGACGCACTGGATTCACTGGCTCTTTTTTACGCTGCACGACACCTCATCCCGAGAACTAGGTGACTGCGTAGGACTGCTCAACTTCACGTAGACTCTACACTCCTTCAGAGGGCATCACGGCACCTTCCGGTCTGCCCGGAAACAGTTATCGCCCAGGACATGGCTGACACAATGGCTCGCAGCACCTTGCGCGTTCGATGGGCAGCAAGCACAAAGCAAAACTACTCGTCTAGCCAACCACCACTACAAACCACACACCAGACGTGCGAGCCGAACACCACACGTGTCGCCGTGTTACACTAATGCACTATCAGTAGTTGAAGCCCGCATACACCAAGCCCAAGGACAAGGGTGCCCAGAAGAATGGTTTCAACTTTCATAAAAACAAGACTCTGACGCGGCTAGCTGGTCGCAAACCCGCTGAGAACACAAACATTGTATTACTGTACTAACATCTTGTTCTAGATTGTAGTTCTACGGTCATGTATTAATTTTCATACGGAGTCGTTAGGCCCGAGTGCAGCCAGTTCATGGTGGTAAGGCCCCAGATCGGCTACATGGTCGATCATTTCCCCATGCCCGATCTCGGTACCATAGGACTTAGGAGGATGCATCTCTAGCTCCAATCTGCGACATAAATTAATTCTGGTTGTTTCAGCTACATTCCGCTAGCAACAAATCAACAACAGTGTTACTATTAATTTTCATACAGTAGTTCTTACTGGACAAGAAGAACAGTTTGGGAAGGAGAGACTCTATTCAGGAGTGTACATGTGGGGAGATAGCTTGTTAGCAGTAATATTAGTACTTCCACACCCCGGCCATTCCATGAAAGCTGGGTAAATACTAGATAGTGCGTGCGTGTGGCGTCGGCCCTGACCGCCCGAGTCTGTCCTCTTCCCAGACTTCATTATGGTCAGAGGTAGGTAACCTGGTAACCATGGTAACGGTTTGTGACCGTGCGGACACTGATAATCCCGTTGCGGTTAAGGAATCTCGAGGAAGCTCCATTTCGCATCCCCACGGCACACCGGCAGTTTTTACCAGGAAATCAGCAGCCACTAAGCTCTTTCCGGCTCCCAGACTTTGCTTTCATGTTAGGTAACTCTTGGTAGATTCCAAGCAAAGATTTAAGAAACCCTTGGTCCGCCCAGGCGCCAACTCTCATACCGGCGGTTGGAATAGTCATTACAACCACCATGCCCTTGACCAGAAAGAAGCCTTGTATTGATATAGAAAGTACAACGTAATGCCGGTAGAATGGGCATGTGTGTGTGTGTGTGTGTGTGTGTGTGTGTGTGTGTGTGTGTGTGTGTGTGTGTGTGTGTGTGTGTGTGTGTGTGTGTGTGTGTGTGTGTGTGTGTGTGTGTGTGTGTGTGTGTGTGTGTGTGTGTGTGTGTGTGTGTGTGTGTGTGTGTGTGTGTGTGTGTGTGTGTGTGTGTGTGTGTGTGTGTGTGTGTGTGTGTGTGTGTGTGTGTGTGTGTGTGTGTGTGTGTGTGTGTGTGTGTGTGTGTGTGTGTGTGTGTGTGTGTGTGTGTGTGTGTGTGTGTGTGTGTGTGTGTGTGTGTGTGTGTGTGTGTGTGTGTGTGTGTGTGTGTGTGTGTGTGTGTGTGTGTGTGTGTGTGTGTGTGTGTGTGTGTGTGTGTGTGTGTGTGTGTGTGTGTGTGTGTGTGTGTGTGTGTGTGTGTGTGTGTGTGTGTGTGTGTGTGTGTGTGTGTGTGTGTGTGTGTGTGTGTGTGTGTGTGTGTGTGTGTGTGTGTGTGTGTGTGTGTGTGTGTGTGTGTGTGTGTGTGTGTGTGTGTGTGTGTGTGTGTGTGTGTGTGTGTGTGTGTGTGTGTGTGTGTGTGTGTGTGTGTGTGTGTGTGTGTGTGTGTGTGTGTGTGTGTGTGTGTGTGTGTGTGTGTGTGTGTGTGTGTGTGTGTGTGTGTGTGTGTGTGTGTGTGTGTGTGTGTGTGTGTGTGTGTGTGTGTGTGTGTGTGTGTGTGTGTGTGTGTGTGTGTGTGTGTGTGTGTGTGTGTGTGTGTGTGTGTGTGTGTGTGTGTGTGTGTGTGTGTGTGTGTGTGTGTGTGTGTGTGTGTAATGAATGACTATTGTAGTGCATGCTAAGGACATGGTCGTGGGAGACTAGGGCTCGTTGTGTATAGCATTTCTAGTTCTACTACAGGAATTTTAGTTCCAGGACTTACTCTTCAGCCTCCAGACTCTTCATTTTGGCCACATAGTTGCTGGGTGCGAATCCCTCCTCGCCACTGGTGGACTTACGTGCCAACCACCAGTCTCCGTCGGTACTGTTGATAATTTGTAAGATGTCACCTTTCCTGAAGGACAAGTCCTCGTCAGTACCAGCCTGGTAATCATAGAGAGCTTTGTACAGTGGGACATCGGACTGGGGTGATGGTAGTGGTGGTTGCCCCGTCTTGGCCACAGGCGGACTGGGCAACGGCGATGTACTGGACATGGAGGATCTGGGCAGCTGCTGCTGTTGAGGCTGGTGCTGCTGCAGTGAGCTCCCCGACTGACGGTTAGCTTGTGGGTTGTGCATATGCTGTTGCTGCTGCTGGGGCGGCCCGCGTCCGGTTTGCTGCTGCTGCTGCTGCCTCAGACGATCCTGGTACTGCTGGTGTTGTAGGTTCTCCTTCTGCACTTGTGCATTGTAACCGGCGGCTCGTGGGTCGTTAGGTGCAGCTGGTCCGGTCGCCGCCGCTGATGGTACTCCGGCTGTGTACGGCCCATTGCTGGGTGTTGGAGCACTGCTTGCGCAGCCCATCACGCCACCATGCACATGCGTGTGCCGGAGCTCACCTGCAACGATGGTCGGTTGCACTGCAACGCAAGCGGTCTGGAGCCGGTCCAGCCACGAATCAATCACAACGGAATGGGTCAACTCTAGCAGCGATCACAACACCGCTCTACTGCTAGTGCAGGCTAATGCAAGGGCGATTGCGGCACAAATCCTGGACGTGAGAAGCGTCTCCGGCTCTTCCGTTCCACCACAGTAAGAACAGCAGCTTCAGCTTAACTCTGATTTGAAAGACAGCGTTCTTGCTGGGTTCTTCTTCGATCTACTGAGTCAGTCCCCGGCTGCTGTGCGGTGCAGCAGTCCGTGAGAAACGACGCCTTCACAACCGAGATGGCGAGATGGCGAGATGGCGGGGGCGACTAACGTTACTAGTAAAAAGATCGGATATAGGTGAGAGACGCTCGCACGCAGATAATAGGCAACCCAGTATTGATGTGATATCAATCTTGTGAGCAGTGGGTGGTAATAGTCAGATCTTGTTGCAGAAATGCCACGATATGCCGCACACCTGCAATGGTTACTTTGATTTTGTCTGTGGCAGCAACGCTAGTACTAGTATGATACACTGCATTTGCACGTCACAAAACTGATGGGAGTGGTTGACTTCTGCTGTACTAGTAGTACTCCGTCGCGTCGCCAGTCATAAAATTAATGTTTGAATTCCGGCCCGTTGGACTGTCACAAGACTCACATGCTCAGTATCTGTGCATGTGTTGGAGACTAGACAACGACACGTAGATCTACATGTATGTGATACTGACGTCTGTGCATGTACTGATAGTACTGATACTTGATCGTCAGGACTCTGTACATGTAGCAGCAGTACAATCACACGGTACGCGGTCGGTGATCTACACAATGGCCATGCCTACTACTGTCTTGTAAGTAAGTTGTAGTCTGTCATTGGCCATTGGGGATCGAGAAGCCGACGGACACACGTAACCGTCGCGTCTTGCTCTAAGACCATGACCTGGCCCGCCCGGTACGTAAAATGGGGAGTTGATCAGCTAGCGCTTTATAAGGTTGTCTGGTCATTTCTGTGACCAGCCTTCAACTGTCAACGAGTCCACATATAGTAGGCACCACCTGTCCTGTGGCTATGTACTATGTAGCGCTCTGCTCCTGCTGGTACTACGCTGGTAAAAAGAAGAAGGACACGGTATACGGTAGGTGGTCTTTGAGACTTGATTATTGGCTGCTGCTCATGTCATGTACAGTCATGTAATAATAATTATTATTAGTGTAAAGTCAATGGCCCAGCAGCGTGGGTCCATTTCGCAAAGCTGCAGACTGTACACAATTATGATGTGCATGTGGGAGGAGTCATCTACTGTGGCATACATCTACACAACCTACACATGTAAAGTGTAAAATATGTGTACGTGTGTATGTGTGGCGGATGATAATTGTATGCCCGTATTGCATTGACATGACTGTTATTCTGATTGTTTCAGCCCTAATTACAAAGCTCAGTACATTTTAAACTTTGTCGCCCTGAGTTACAGGGTCTACGGGTCATCTTGCGTGGCAGAGCACAGTGTCACGGTTCAGTGAAGGTAAATGAGCAGGAATTCACCAAGCGTCCAAAGCGAGTACAGTGTGCATGTGGCGTGACCCAGGCTACACGCGCGTGTTGCACAGTACCGCCAGAGCACCACACCAACACCATCCTCTCGTGGTCTTGTTGTGGAGGGTGGGGCGGTGCGCCGCATGCGCTATTCCTGTGTCTGTACTGCGTGTAGGTCACACATGACAATATAATACGCGCATACAACTCGTACACACACGTACACACACGTACACATATTAAAATGTTAACACCAGCACAGACTATGACAGTGGCAACCATCAATACCCATGGACCACTTTTAAACATAGTGAAACACTTCGCAGATAAGTTACTTATTTTCCTTGCATCTCGGTGATAGAGTTCTTTCTTGAGCAACTGCATACCACTTTCTGGTCATTCGACTTTGTCGCCTATAATTATTTAATAATGGAAGGTTCACCGCGCATAGAGCTGACCCACCGGATCGGATTTCACCGAGCAGCACACTACATTGTACACACACGTAATGCTGCTGGCACTGGCACTGTACTGTATCGTCGTGCACTGGGCAGCAGGAATGCTGGTACACACCGTGCCTGGCAACACTACAACACACACTTGAAGTACTGGTGAGCTGCTAGGGTACACATATATACTACGGGACGGACCACGAATCGTGTGGACAAGTCACGAGACACCCTGCTAAATCCAGAGAAAGCATGAAATGAGTGTGACGTGTCGCGACGAAACATCACGGCGCGTCACACGCCTACCGATTACGGCAATGAGTGGTACAGAAAGAGAGTACAGGCAGAGAGGTCAATAAGAAAGCATTGTGATTAGATTCGTGTCTGCACAGACGTCAACACGCAAGCACATAGAGCATAGGCCTAAATGATTGGAAGAAATCAATGACATAAAAAGTACACCCTAAATAATATGTACAGCTAAGCAGTATGGGAATTGGTAAATCTGTATTGTGGTTCATATCTGTGAAAACAATTCCGCCGAAAGGAACCGTGGACTTGGCAAGTACTAGTATTCGTTTTCAGTATTTGTTTTCATGTCTACTAAAATTTCGTGCACACAGTCAAGACTAGTCTGACCGTGTGTGTTGGCTGTGTTTCATGTTTGACTGTGTGACTATGACTCCGCAGGGCTGTGCTTGCTCATCTGCACGCGGCGCCGTGACACTCGCTGAGCAGGCGTGGCGGAGCTCGCCGCCAGCCTGGCGATCTTTATCGGCGTCGTGCTGGCCTGATTGCGGTGCGACGCCTCCGCTGTGTGCACAGCAGCAGCAGCAGTGGCAGCAGCAGCAGCAGCGGCAAACACACAGGCACAAGAAAAGAGAAACACTGTTTGACATGCCACGCTTACAAAACAGCACTGGCTAGAGCGCGTTCATTAAAAAATAAATACTGTAAAAGCCAAACGAGGCGCATAAAAACGATTTCCCAAAATTGACTGGTTTACGTGTACCAAAGGCAACGATTCTCACTTATTCTCAACGCTCAATAGGACAATATATGTATTGATTTCTGTGCAACGATTTCTATTTTAACGACAGATTTCTCCTCGTGAACTCGTTAGAGTTAGCACTTCGTTATATTATATATATCAGGGCCGGCGCCACTGGTACGACCATGGCCGTACCAAACAAAAACAAACCTTCCCAAAAAGTCGGTCCACGTGGCCGTGGAACGTCTAAAACCGGGGAGAAAAAGTTTCGATGTATGATTTTGTACAGGGAGTCGCCCAGAGTGCAGGATTTGCCGTCTAAATTCCAAATTTTTCCTGGGGGAGGACCCCCAGAACCCCCATAAAGATGGCCCCTTTGGCCGCACCGCTCTGCGGAAGCAGCCTCCAGCCCTGTATATATATGGCCTTTTAAATACAGTATATAAAAAGTTGCCTTGCTCACGTGCATCTGTCAAGAGCTGCTGTTTTGCATTCTGAAACAACATCCATCGCCAGTGCAAAATACCTGGACGTTTTTGGTGTCAGCATGCAGATGACAGAACAGAAATCGTCGAACCAAATGGAACATACTCAAACACATTAGGCAGCGGAGGTTGCGACAATGGAGGCGAGGCACACTTTCTTTTTCCCCCATATGATCTGCCCTTCCTCCCCTGCCAATGGCTAATGCCCCCTACCTAGGCTCTATCAGCCCCGCTTATTGACGAGATTCGCAATCAGGCCAGCTTACCGATTCTCTTCCGCCGCCGTCTGGCGAAAGTATTGGTGTGCTTTGAGAGATCGTTGCACACCTTTCTCCAGTGGTTCAGTTTGTCAGCCTACAGCACAGGTCAAACAAAACATATCAACATAGCATTGAAAGATAGGACCAACAGTTTACAGCCATGTTGCCTGCAGCCTATCCAACACTAACAGTCAGAAGCAAGGTACTTGTGAGTCAGAAGGTGCAGCAGTTAGCACAACACTGACTGATGAGCAACTGACATTCAACGATCATAAACTTTTGGTCCTTTCATTCAATTTTAATCCTTGGCTCTCCATCCCAGTAAAAACCATAGCATGTCCATGAAGTCAAGGCAGCGAACGCCTTCATACACCCTACACATGTACGTGTGACCTACACACTGTGGACTGTGGAACAAAGGCAGCAAAAGAGAGCTGCAAATGCCTGTGATAACAACATGTATTCTTGACTGGTGCGTAGATCATTTGCGTTTCATTGGCATGGCCGGTCCATTTCCCTTTTCAAGGCTACAACATGACTGGAGTGCATTGTTTCTGGTACCGACAAAATTCCCTTTGACATTTGTTTTGCTTATTGCAAGCTCACCAGAGATTTATGAATAAACGCCGTGGAGACAACAATTTTAATAAAGCAATAACATATTGACCTTTGATAAATAGTAAATACCCACACTCATTAGTGACCACACCATCAACAGTATCAAATTCAAATAAATTTGCTTTGACTCAATAAATACCACTGCACTTTTCCATGTAGCACTCCACTTTTCCCTAAAAAGGAGTATTTTATAAACAGTATTAATATTTTATTGGCCTTAGTGGTATTTTATAAACAGTATTTATTGGCTTTTGACCAAATAAATACTGTTTATAAAAATAATACCACTAGGGCCAATAAATACTGTTTATAAAATACTCCTTTTTAGGGAAAGTGAAGGTCAACATATGTATGATAAATGTAGAGCCTACGGATTTATTGCAATTACATACCGGTATAAAAACCTCGGTCCGAGTATACATCAATAGAACTAACTCTGCCGTCATTACTGTGTATTACCACTTCAGTCACGATATTCCACTGATGATAGTGACATGAAAATCGATTCTGGAAAACATTTGACTTCATTGATGCATGGTAATGACGGCAGAGTTAGTTCTATGTATTCCCGTAGCTATGCAAAAGACGTTACTTCAGTAACGTCTGGCGCTAGCCAGGGTCCACACAGCTTTAATTCCGTGTTTGTTTGTTTGTGCCATCGGCATGCCTGGCGCTATCCCGTACCTGTCCCGTACCATCAAAGACAGCTGGCCACAATATTCAAATAGGACTGTCAAATGCAAGATCATAACGTGAAGCAACTTGGAAGAATGAGTATGTATGCGAAGTGTATCGGGGGAATGCATGCAGGGCGATAGTGCGGGTTCGAATCCCAGGTTATGTCAAGGTGGTAGACGGTGTCGTATTACCCTCGAATGCAAAGAAAAAGTGTATTTCTTTCGCTCAGGGTCCTACGCTATGCTTTTTTTGCCTAGCTCATCATGCATGTTATTCGAACAGATGGAAACTTTTTGCAATACAATCATGTAGCCGATCAGTTCGTTGCGGTATAGTTGGGCATTGTAGCCGTCATGGTCGACGTAAAACACTATAAGACCGCAACGAAGTTGGGGCCAAAGAGAAAGTTCCATCAGTTCTAATAACATGCATGATGGGGTAGGCAAAAAAGCATAGCGTAGGGCCCTGAGCTTCCAAGCTCTCTCGTTGCTTTATCACCAGAGATTGTATTTAGTAACTCAATCATGTCTGGGTTGTTTACAAAAAAAGACGGTACAAGTAGGTCGACGAGAAAGCTCCCGCCTGTCCATTGAAAAAATCATGGGGGCGCTCAGATTAGGCCCTGGCGGATAATGCTCGAAAAGGTGGCAGATTCTGCTCGAAAAGCAGTGAAATTGGCAGAACCATACAAACCTTATGGCGTGCAGTTCCTCGAATTCTGCTCCATTTCTTTATCCACATACCAAACATGCATGAAACTTACCAGAAAAAGTACCGAATTCTGCCAATTTTTCTGCCGGCATTATCCGCCAAGGCCTAGCTCAGATCCGCGGTTCCAGAGTTAGACAGTTCGAAAGCCGCGTCTCGGCAAACGTCACTCAATAGCTGCCTGCGCAGATTTGAACGCCGGATTTCCCCAAATTCTCGGGCATGCAGTGACATGGAAAGTTTGAAAACTCATTCAAAAGGACACACAGACAGGTGGCAATTTGTAAAAAAAACGAGAGAGCTTGGAAGCTCAGGGCCCTACGCTATGCTTTTATGCTTTTTTGCCTAGCTCATCGTACATGTTATAAGAACTGAGGCAAAAGTATTTGCAGAATTTATTGCGGATTGTTATTTCTCTAATAATCATCTTCTTTTGGTTTGCTCCTTCTTTTCTTTTTATCTCCTTATACTGTAAATCAACAAATTTTGGCTGATGAGAAATAGAAACCTCTCTATTAGAGAGGTTAAGATGCACGTTATTTCCGACGTGACGCGCAATTTCACGTCAAATTTGAAATCGATAGGTATTTTTGCTCTCACATGCATCCATTGCTCAAAAATGCATCAATTTCCTATATGACAAACTTTGGCCTGTGATTTACTTTGGCCGGTTGGTACCAAGCGGCGAAATCAGCGAAATTAAATCGCCAGCGAAAATTAGTTGATTTTAATACAGTAATCGGATTTTCTGGCCTTTTTGTAGTAATACATGTACATTGACCTGTTGAGCCAATGACGACAACGAATGCATGGTTGCCTGTGGAGCACATTACATAACTTAGCAGTCTCCTAAAATACGTATCCTGTCCGACGGCAAAAGAGTCTGCAGATTTAGTTTTTCTGCGCGTCGACGGGATGTCTGCGACGCGAAAGTTCAGCTCGCGTTATTTGGCTCGCACGTCGAAAAATCAACGCGAGTGACCTGCTGCTCACGTGGAAATTTGGACATTACATAACTTTACAGTCTCCTATAATACGTATCCTGTCCGACCGCAAAAGAGGCTGCAGATTTAGTTTTTCTGCGCGTCGACGGGATGTCTGTCCTGACGTTCACTGGGACCGGCGCTGACTTTGCCGATCACGGGCGTTCTGGACTCGACAGGATGTCTGTCCTGACGTTTCCTGGGACCGGCGCTGACTCTGCCGATCACGGGCGTTCTGGACTCAACAGGATGTCTGTCCAGACGTTGCCTGGGACCGGCGGACTCTGCCGATCACGGGCGTTCTGGAGTCGACGGGATCTCTCTTCCGACGTTTCCTGTGACCGGCGCTGAATCGCTCGTTCACGCTTATTTTAGATCTCTCTTTCAAAATACATGTATGTTTATGCTGACGCTGTTTATGCTGACGCATCCTATCACCTATTCGGCGTCTACTCTAATTTAATTTCCTCCTCGTCTCCCTATTTCTTCCCAAATCTCCCTCTACATCAGGGAGTCGTATGCATAATACGACGAATATTGGTACGGTACGGGACAGATACAGGAGCCCGCAAATATTGTGGACAGCTGTTATGTACAATCCTGTAGAGCCTTTGTAGTCATAGATACGGGACAGATACGGGACAGTTACGGGATAGCGCCAGGCGTGACACAAACAAACAAACAAACAAACACACAAACAAACAAATACCAAATTAAAGCTGTGTGGACCCTGGCTAGCGCCAGACGTTACTGAAGTAACGTCTTCTGCATAGCTACGGGAATAAAATAAAAGTGTGAAGCTGCTACGACACTTACGAGCAAGGAGAGCAAAGCGACTTTTGTCGGAATACTGGCGTTGCAACTAGTAATTCGCTGGGCTATAGAGCTGGCGGTTTGACCCTTGTGGTAGCAAGCGTTAGCCCAGTGTGTTCCTCTTGCTACAGACTTTCCAAAAATCTCCGGAGGAGACCAAAGTTGTGACCAGGAGAATAATGCATTGCGAGGTGAGCTGAGGTCAAATTCAATCTGCGAACATTTTTTTATGACCGGGGAAAAGCGAGTGCGGTATTCACGACAGAGTTACCATGGGATTTACCCTCTCCACACCCAGTCTTTTTAAAAAGCCTTTGTGCAAATTGTCTGTACATGTGAAAATGGGTTACCCTTCTTGTGTAGCTTTCCACTACGTGGTTCGCGGCTGTAGTTATTATCACGTATACTTGTATTACTATTAGGTCACTTCGCCACTACATGTATGTACCGTCAGCTGTAATGATATCTGTATTCATCCTTTTCCTGTGTTATTTGTTGAAGTAAATAGTTGATATTTTGTAGTCAGTTGTTTCCAGTTATATTTATTTAAGTAAATAGCTAACATTTCGTGTGTTTTTAGGATTGTCCTATTTATTCCTTTTTGCCTATTCTGCAGTTGCATGCGTGTGTGCTCCTCATTGGCTTCCCTCGTTCCTCCTTTCTTTTGTTCATTTGGCTTATGCGAACGTTGGCCAAGCTTGCTTGGTGATGTCAACGCGAACGCGAACAAGCATAATAATAATAATAATAATAATAATAATAACACCCAGTAAACCAACCCACCATAACCAGAAGCTGCTGATTCTTCTCCTCCAGATCCTGAGTGGCAAGACTCAGATCAGGCAACGCTTCCAAGCGTGCAAGTCGTTCTTCGCTCACCCGACTCCGTAACGTTTCACAGCCAAGAGGAGCAGAGCATTCTGCATGTGCCCGCTCTAGATATCTGCAGAACGATACAAAAGTGAAGAAAACAGATGAGGAGAGAACACAGGATGTTAAGCCTTTAGGCGATGGAAGAAACAACACTAACGCTGGACTACGTGACGTATCAAGACCCTCATTGTCCTGGACGAAGAGTGGAATTTCCCGTTTCACCCCGGGACTATAAACTTGACAGCACTCACACACAAGTAACGCATTCGATTGAGTACAGCACATACTTCGAGTGCAATATTTCAGGCTGGACATTTCAGCATTTTCAGGCGCGCGATACAAACAAAATATGATGGAACGTATGAGTCAAAGCACATCAATTCAAAAGTCCCCCCCCCCTTTTCTTTATGAAAAGTTGAAAATTACAACAGATATTCATCACGGATTCTACCTCGCATCCACATTCCACATTCTCTGCATAGCCTCAGTGACAGGGCTCTTTTCTATTAGAAAGGAAAGCATAGCCAGGGTTCTAGCCAGGAAAAAATTAGAGGGACAGGTAGGGGAAACAAACAGTTCACCCATTATTTTTCATGTTCCACTATTGCCTTGTCACAGAACCAATGCAACAGACGGGTGCAGAGAGCACCCGGAACGATCAATTTGTGGCCACATTCTCGCTGTGCGAACTGAAAAAAACCCAAATCGAAAAATGAGCAGGGTGGTGTGCTATCAGAGTAGCCCCCCCCCCCCCCCCCTTGGCTAGAACCCTGATAGCAAAAATCAAGATTGTTTTACTGTTTCCAACTCTCTCAAACTTATGAAAAAGCATATCAAACAACATGATCCACAAGCCCGGGATGAAAATGTTGAAACACGTCAGTTTTGTCCGGATTGTCTGTTTTGACAATCAATTTTGTGAATAGGTCTGCCGCGGCTACTAGAAACCACAACAAGAAGCAACAGCATCAACACACAACATACTGGTGCACATCGTCGGCAATTTGCTCGTGCTGCTCAATGGCCGAATGCCAGCCAGCTATCTCAGCCCTTTGCCTGCACAAGGAGAGAGAGAGAGAGAGAGAGAGAGAGAGAGAGAGAGAGAGAGCACGGGGCACGGAAAACAGAGACAAGTCACTTATCATACATCATAATTCATGCGCATAACCGGATCATCCAGTCGAGCATGAAACGCATGAAAGAAGCCGGCCACCTGAACACCAGAGGGTTCTATTGGAACCCATCAGCAGCAGCAGCAGCAGCAGCAGCAAGAACTAGAGCAACTGCAGCAGCAGCGGTACGGCCAAATTGAGCACTCACGCTTCCAGCATGGCACGGTCCTCCTCAATGTCCTGTTCGCTAGGACGGGTCCTGTGACTCCTGTCATGGAAGAATCAGCAAACAGCAAAGAATGAAGGGAACAGATTAAATATTCATTAGTTGAGGAACAAAGTAAACGAACAATTTTTGTCCTACTTCTTTGATACATAAACCTTTCTTGCCATGATGTGTGTGTACCAGCAACAGTGGAGCGAATAGAACGGCACACACGCACACACATACACACAGAGGTAATCTAGCAGAGACAGAGATAGCAATCAAAACTTTGCCATAGCACTAGCATAGCACTAGGTTAGTGCCATGCGGGACAGTCTCACCATTTTCCCGCCACCGATTGCGCTGCGCCTGGCTGCGATGTGGCAGCTGCGGGCTGAACAGTTCCGCCGGGGGACTGAGTCGCTTCTTTTGCTAGGAACACAGAGCAGAGAATGTGTGCATTGATTCAGATTATGCATGACACCAGTAATGCATTGGAGAACAAGCATATTCACCATGATAACGCCTACTAGCACAACTGAATAGAAGACCTTAGCCCTATGTCTAGCGTGCATACACGTTTCGAGCGGCTCACGTGACTGCCGAAGCTGCTGTACAACGGTCTAGAGCACAGTAATACAGGCGATTGGGAAAAGATCGGCCAGTGATAGGCTGAGCAACCACGGCATACATGGCTCTTTTGGACTGCTCAAAGATGGCACTCCTGCTACACTGCCACTGACACCTTTGCTGCATGACACTGCAGGGAGTTACAGAAACGCTCAGACCACACAGTGGTTGCCAGCTATGCCCGATTTATACGAAGAACGTGATGTCGAACATACATGTTTCAAGAGTTAGGAAACTAACACGTTGATACGGAGATGGAGAGCATTCCGATATATAGCCACTGACACAGGTGCAAGGAAGAAGCCAGGACTGGTACAGCCAATAAGTCGCCGATTGAATTGAGCCGACATTAGTTGGTTTCAAACCCAAGCATCCACACACGCCCATGTTCTAGCAGTTATGCATGGTGTAGATCTGCAGCTGGCTGGCGAACTGCGGGGCAAAAATCCTGGCTATTTTTGGGAGACTGTTCATGTCCATTTCAGATTGGCATGGCATTGCAGCAAACTGCCACACCGGAGTGACTGCAAAGCATGTATCATACCATAGTTCAATCTCCAATTTCAGAAATTTTAGGTGCTCAAAATGTTAGGTGAGGGCAAATAACGACTCCAGGTTAGGTAAAAAAATTGGTTCAGAGAAGCAGTTCCCTATTGGAAGATGTGCATCAGTGATTGTTAAACTTTAGGGGTGAAAGAGATGGACCGAAAGTACCGAAAATCTGTGAATTTACAGTACTGTACCCATTTCATCACAGCCTACCTTGGGCTGGTGTGCCGGGCTCCTTTCTTGCAGAGCGCTCCGCCTAACAAAAAAGAAGAAAAAAGACAGTAAGCAAAATGCACATACCGGTACACGTATACACAACAAACTTGGCAAGCAGCACTGTGCCGACGCACATCACGACAGTCTGAGTTCGTATCAAATGAAACCCTCACAGGTGAGACAAGCATGCCACGCATTCAACAAGGTTCCTGCTAGCGCGCTGACCGGAACCTTTACGCCCGGGTGCAGTTTTACAGAGAACTTGTACAGAGAACGAATCCCCCCCCCTCAGGTGAAACCAGTTCATGAGGAGTTCTCCAGCTAAAGGGGGGGGGGGGGGGGGGGGGGAGGGACCAGCGCTAACGCGCATACGTTCCCTACTGGAGCTGCCGGTATAAATCCAACATCCAGCACTGGCTGTGCTCAGCATAAGCCTGGTGATTGGTCAAGGGCATGGAACTAATACAAGTACAAGTACAGTGAACCTTCAGGATACCGTAAAAGTCCGTAAATAAGTACCTGCCCGAAAGAAATACCCCCTTCATTCTTTTAGCTCTGTCTGTTGAATTCAAGTCAAGCCCGATAAACATACTGCCCGAAATAAGTACCGGTACGGTGCGCACATGCAGCACGTAGCATGTACATCGACATGAAAATGACTTCTCCACTACACACAAGTCGGGTCCGAAAGTTAGTACGGGTGTGGCCACTAAATTCGAAAGTAAATACGTACTTATTTACGGACTTTTACGGTAAACTACCTTGCATGCAACATACTACTGTACAGGCAGAAACATTCGTCGGTCAATAATTTCGTCCAACTCCAATAAACAGTACAATGTACATGCACTATTCTTTTAAGACCCTGCACAACAGTACATGTATAGTCATTGTAACCTTGGGTACACATAGACAGTGCCAACACGGCTATAAAATACAGGCGCGTGTGTCCTTTGCGCGCACACTGCACTTTTTAGTTTCATTGTAGTTACAGCGAAACAGAAGCATGCTGCTCTGTAACTCCTGCGTGCAAGATTTTAGTGTAGGTGGAAAACATATCTCTGCGAGTGGAATGAACAAAACTTTGCGCCAGCACGCCAACTTAGACCATGGCCCACATGCACACAGTGACCTACTTGTGCCGATATGTTTGACACAACAACGTAGACTTTCAATCAATACACTGATGTGCCGACGGGCATCTAATGTGTTCATTTAAGACAACTCGACTGTACCTTGACAGGCGTTAGCGTTGAACGTCTGCGTGTGATGCTCTTCCGCCGCTGCAACATACAAGAAAGTCAGTGAAGCAAGAACACCCATCGTGAGTATCGTGGCCAAGACATCAGCATCAGGGTGAAGTGCATAGACCTTTCTACACAGTTGAGCATTTGCAGTTAATTTTCTGGGTCAACATAATGCTTCTACACGGACACTGACGGCACATAGCACTCTGGTGACAGGGTCGGTTTCTCGGTAGACAGTTCATACTACATGTAATCGAAGTTCCAAGTCCATGCAGTGTGCTGCAAGGAGATTCGTTTTGCTTAGCTGCTTAGTCGAGCTGTTTTTGAGGGCATTGTTATTTGGCAGTCTAGCTAGTCTATCCAGTTATGATTTGTAAAGAAAACAATGGAAGGAGGTGATGGTGATGGTGGTGCTTCTCAGTTTACGTGAAGGTTTGTCTGGAACGGTGACAATGGAGAACGTTTCGCCCATGAGCGTGATTGTGTTATCAAAAGGAATCCTGCTACATGAAAGAAGACTCGTTGTGACGCCAGACGATGATTGCTCGTTCCAGTGCTCATTACGAGTATGCGGAACAGTTCACAAAGGTGATTCGCTGCAAGAATTATTTGCAGCTGAACGCTCAGGATGCCAAGAATGAGTGCCCTTCGGCACTGCAATTCGCAGGCATATACTGGTCCGGACTTTATTCACCATAGCTGTAGAACGTAATACTGCATTACAAGTACACCCGACCATTTACACTGCATTTCAACAACAGATACTAGTACACAATTTCTCACAATTTTTCATACCCTTCTAGGCTTTGGAGATTATTTGAACTTTTGTGAGCTTCCTTCATTTCACAATTCCATTCAAAACAATTGTGCTTCCTAGTATAAACGGAGTTCGTATTTCGGGCACGCTCTACCATTCTGAAGGACTTTCTTGCTTCCGAGCTTTGAAACAATGGTACGATACCGGTCTTATCCAGAATGAGTGCAGATGATGCACTGAGGGAGTTCGTAGTAGACGTATGAAGTCAGGGGAGGGAGGGGTGTACGTTCTTACCCCCCCCCCCCCCCCCACTATTTTGGAGTATGGTAGAACTAGTACAAGCCCGTAAAGACCTGTCGTGCAGGCTTGCACTGTTTTCAAACTGCACTATTGTAACTAAAACTGCGCTATTGTAATACCCAAGCTCAGTTCGTACAACTACCGTATTATCTCTAATATAAGCACAGTCTCCAATAATAGCACGTCTCCAATAATAGAACACCTTGGGGCGGCGTTCAAAAAATAAAGTGCTCAGTCTCCATTATAAGCACACTGTGTAAATTCATTATCTGTACCGGCGAAAAAACCCTGAAATGTGTGTGTTGACATGAATTTGGCATGGCAACATGCCTCTGAAAATGAGGTTGAAATAATAATGGAACAGTCTCCAATAAAGGAACGTCTGCGGAGGTACATTGAAAAAATAAAGGACCGTGCTTATATTAGAGATAATACGGTAACTATCATCTGCATGAACATGTAAGGCTTTAGAGTGCTTCTGCGACTGATTCTGAGTTATTTTTTTCTTCAAAGTTCAAACTCGTCAATCAAGGATTTTTAAAATCAGAAAGAAAACAGGACACTCTCACCTGCTGTACACCACGTCTTGACTTCTTTCGAGTGAAACGAAACCCACAGTCACCTTCCTCTTCGAACTGCACAAATGTAAAACGTGGAGACGTATCTCACACTCCACCAATGAACTCCCATCACAGGCGATGACGATTGCCCTACCTGTTTCCTTTTCTCGACTTCGTTCTCAGACATACTGGTCTTGGCTAGTTCGAATATTCCCGCATGAGAACTAGTTTTCAGGCGAAGGTACGCCTTCCTCGATATTTCACCAACGTAACTCGTTGGATCACTGCACGTCCACACCGGCGACTCTAGTCTCCAGACTAACCTCCGGAGGCCGTTTTCGACATCAGCGAATCCTTCACTACCTTCCTCCTGTTCAGATCGGTGTGCACTTGCATTGCATGCACAGTGTCAGTGTACTGATCTTCTTTCCCGCGGTTGGATTTCAAATAATTTTAATTATTATGTCCAAAAATTATATTATAATGCTGCCTTTTCGTTGATTCACATGCATTTTTGAATTTTTTGGAAAATCATGGAACAGCATCATGATATCACTGCACTCGATCCATAATACCGGTACTAGTATTTGGAGTATAATTTCGATTTGGCAATCTACATCTCGTATACGCGTACCGGTATACATGTATTTTGGACTGATTTCCATCCTAGCCAGAGTCCAAAATTACTGCTCTTGAAGAAATTCGTCCATGATACTCTGTATTCGTGGATTGAACTCCTATCAATAGAGGCTCTTCTACCTGGATACAATGGCGTTCTCGCTGAAGCAGCTGTCTAGCAAGGCTGAAGTAGATGCTGTGATCAAGACAACACTGGACAAAGTTCTCGTCTTACGCTTTGGCCGTGCTTCAGATGTGGCATGCATGCAGCTTGATGACATTGTAAGTGAACCCTGGCCAAAAAGTCTACTACATTTTGTAGAAAGTACAGTTTTAAAGGGGAAGTTAAGGCTAAAATCAAAATTTCACCAGGGTGCTTCTTTTTTTGGGGGGAGGGTTCTTCGGGGTGCTGAGTCGAATGGTCTTGGTCAGAGAAAGCTGAGACGCTCCCTTCCCACTTTAATCCCAATCGAACTCGCGCACTTCTACCGAAACTGGATGACTGCACCCTATTAGATGGGGATTTGTATGCAAAATGTCACTAAAAGCGCCATTTCGTTCTTATAAAAGCACGGATGGCCGCGATTGGCCCATATGTTGTAGTCTTTTGGACGCTGAGTCAACTGGTTTTGGTCCGAAAAGGCTGCAATGCAGCGTTCCTCCTTTATTCCCAATCGAACATGGTTGAACAAGTGGTCACGTGCTCCTGGGTGCCCAAATCACCTGGTCACCACGCCAGCAGGCGACAACTTTCACACCAAGGTTCAACTTTCACACCAAGGTTCAACTCGAGTGACAGGACTGCACCCAAAAAAGGTCAAACAGGCTAGTAAGTTGTACCCTGCAGGCACGGTGACCAGGTGACTGGTGTATGCAGGAGCACGTGGCCACTTGTTCAACCATGTTCGATTGGGAATAAAGGAGGAACGCTGCATCGCAGCCTTTTTGGACCAAAACCAGTCGACTCAGCGTCCAAAAGACTACAACACATGGGCCAATCGCGGTCATCCGTGCTTTTAAAAGAACGACATGGCGCTTTTAGTTACATTTTGCATACAAATCCCCATCTAGTAGGGTGCAGTCACCCAGTTTCGGTGAAAGTGCGCGAGTTCGATTGGGATTAAAGTAGGAAGGGAGCGTCTCAGCTTCCTCGGACCACGACCATTCGACTCAGCACCCCGAAGACTACAACTGGTGAAATTTTGATTTTAGCCTTAACTTCCCCTTTAAAGGCTGTGTTTACATGAGTTTTCAACTTGCCATGAACACAGTCTGACTGGAGCGTTTACATGATGCATTGTGCTTGACCTGGGTTGATTTCATCCCCCCCCCCCCCCCCCCCCCCAAAGGGTAAGGTCGAAATCGAGAAAACCTACCATGGCACTCGTATGCTCATACCGTATTTTCTCTAATAAACCAGTCTCCAATAATGACCCGGGGTGAGGGTTGTTTGAAATAATAAGAGCATAGTCTCTAATAGTAGCGCGGGTCACAATTGGAATATGCAACAAGTATATTGACTGCATACGAGAGAGCTTGGAAGCTCAGGACCCTGCGCTATGCTTTGTTGCCTAGCTCATCCTGCATGTTGTTAGAACTGATGGAAATGCTTTTTCCTTTGATTAGCTACATCATTTTATTGCAAAAACGTTTCAATGAGTTACTGAAGTAACGTCTTCTGCATAGCTATGGGACTGGCGCTGACTCTGCCGATCACGGGCGTTCTGGATTCGACGGGATGTCTGTCCTGACGTTTCCTGGGACCGGCGCTGACTCCGCCGATCACGGGCGTTCTTCTTCTTCTTCTTATTATTATTATACTGACGGCAACTAACATCCATTCCAATTGCATTTACTCGTCTCCCTACTTCGTATTTCTTTCCAGAAAATCTCCCCATACAGCAGGGAGTCGTTTACATAATATGACTCCCTGCTATACATCTACATGACTGTATACACGTTATAATTATTATATTGTCGGCCTACATGCGATTCCCGGGCTGGTCGACAGGCGGCCCAGCCAGCCTGCTAGTGGGATCTCGGCCTCGCACACAAATCCACACAAAATGTTGCTGCACTGAATGCATTCCCCCGATACACTTCGCATATATACTCATTCTCTTGATGGTACCGTACTCTTGATGGTACGGGACAGGTACGGGATAGCGCCAGGCATGCCGATGGCACAAACAAACAAAAATATTGTGGCCAGCTGTCTTTGTTGGTACGGTACGGTACGGGACAGATACGGGATAGCGCCAGGCGTGACACAAACAAACAAACAAACACACAAACACCAAATTAAAGCTGTGTGGACCCTGGCTAGCGCCAGACGTTACTGAAGTAACGTCTTCTGCATAGCTACGGGAATAAAACAGCAGTACAACATGCCAAGAACATAATTATTTGTAAGGTTTTCGGTCTACTGCTTCCTTCCTGGTGCCAATGCTATTGTGAGACATCTGTTTTGACAATATTCCTGAGTTTAGGGTTGAAAAATCAGTCTTGACATGGTCAGTTTATGCCTGTATAGACTGGAATTGGCTTGATAGTTGACAATTGAAAAAATAAGAGCCCAGTCTCCAATAATAGCCCAGTCTCTAATAGTAGCGCGGGTAGAGCTGTCACTGAAAAAAATAAGAACCCCGGGCTCTTATTAGAGACAATACGGTATCTCTCGCCAGGATTGCACAACATTGTATACTAGTACAGTTAGGCCTCGCTTATCCGGTCCTCTTTTTTCCGGATCCCTTGCCATCCGGAGGAAAATCGCTGGTTACCGATTTACAGCATACGTTACGCATACAACACAACTGGACCTCGCGATCCGCATACCCGTGCATGGTTTTGTGTACCAACTGGTTCAAGTGTGTACAAGAAGCTTCGTCGTATCCGTTTGCACAACATGGCTTGCAGAAGCTAGAATCAGGGAGTTGTACAAACAAGCGGGGTCGATACGACTCCTTGACCTGCTGGCTGCATGCGGATAGCACTCAGTTGCATGCACTTGTCTTTTTCTTCTGCACACTAGCTGTACTGCATGATGCCACGTACGATTTCACACCTTTTGATGTGCCCCATGCATATACAGTATGTGTGTTCGGTTATCCGGTTCCCTCGCCTAACCGGATGTTTTTTTGTGGAAAACGTGTATGTGCGGTCTGACTGTATGCGAATTCCCGGCAGCCATAGTAGCCATGCAACCATACAGCACTGGAGAAAGATTTGTGTCGGTATGTCTGTAATCTACCCGGGTCAACTGTCTTCGCGTGAATTAATGCTTGCCTTTTTTCTTCAACCGTGCAGACTTTCAACCCGGGTTGAAAATTCTCATGCAAGCACAGCCTAAGTGGATGCTTTGAAACCATGCTTTCTCGTGCGCTATCACGATCACGTACTCCACTGCATTTTGCACGTGCATTTTGGGCCTGGAAAATCCTGGAATTTTCTTATAGGAAATCTTTGTATCGGTATGGACTTTGGTAATCCAGTCAGCAAGATCTCTTAGCTGTAGGCTTTTTCTCTTGTGTACTTCTGGGCATTTCTTCAGCTGGATAAGGCTCAAGAGAAGATGGCGCGGATGGCTGAGATCTACACCGTTGATGTCGACGCTGTCCCCATCTACGTGCACTACTTTGACATCTCCCTGATCCCGGCCACTGTTTTCTTCTTCAATGCGCAGCACATGAAAGTTGACTATGGGTGAGCCGGGGCCCATTGTGTAGGTATTTGCGCATACACGTTAAAGAAACTCTACATGGAGGAGAGGGTACAGCTATTCATTAACCGTTAGTATTCAACAGGCCATGGCGGGGCCTTCTCTCTCATCTAGAATCTCCTTAATGGCCTCGATTTCCTTGTATGCTACATAATGTCATTGTATCGAGCTGGTTCTGCAGTATACACTGTCATGCAGTGCTTGCTCAACGGATCGTAACTCGGTGAATTCTCAACCGAATTTGACAATCAAAAGACCTAGATGGTAGGAGAGGCACTCAGGAGTCGGCTCAAACAGCTCTCGGATTAAAATTAAGAGGATTGAAAAGTATGCGTTTTTTTATGCTCTTGCAGTGTATGAATTTCTATTCTTTTTTTGCCTGAGAGCAAGGTTTCCCTGCTGCAAGCCCAAGCAAAGTATGCACATACAGCACTGTGTGCCGCAACTTTCTGTGTCTTCTCCAAAAGATCTGAGTGAGTTTGAGCGGAGGGTAATGAAATAGCGGTGTGAACGATGTCTTGCTTCTCAAGTAATAGTTGTATAACCATTGAGTTACATCAACTCCAAGAAGAGTATCTTGCTTCGTACTGGCTTTCTTAGGTGCCGTATTGAAGAATTTTAGATTATCCGCCGTGACCTTCACGTTGAACAGCAAATTGCTCCTGAAGGCAATGCTCACTGGCACAGCTTGCCTTTTTTCTAAGGGCACAAATGTACGCTACCCGTAGAGTCTACTGCATGCCCATGACGCTCTTGGGCATTTGCCTCTGCTGTAAGGTATTTGTTACATGCTTTGTGGAAGAAAAGAAGAATTTCCTTTGTATTTGTCATGACTATGATTGTATGTGTGTATCCCGCCTTGGCATGGACACACGGTTGGACAGCCTGTGCGTTGTGTGCCAACTGCTGTTGTGGCACTGTGTGTGTGCGTGCGTCTCGCACGCTCTCTCTCTCTCTCTCTCTCTCTCTCTCTCTCTCTCTCTCTCTCTCTCTCTTTCTCTCTCTCTCTCTCTGTGCTTGTATTAATTAGGACGCCGGATCACACAAAGTTCATCGGTGCCTTCAAGAAGACTCAGGATTTCATCGATCTAGTCGAGGTGATACTGCGGGGAGCTCTGCACGGGAAAGTGATGGTTACGAGTCCCATTGACCCGAGGAATGTGCCAAAGTATGACCTCGTCTACAAGAACATCTGAAGTCCGTGCCGCTTGCCACAGGGCTGTTTAGACAGGCAAGGTCCCAGTCATCCCTTCATCAAGGTTTCCCCTGAAAGAGCAGGCAGATTCCGTCTGGCAACTGACCCATGCCACTCAATGTACTGGTATCGGTACCATGATCTTGAGTATTTGTTTCTCGTGATATGGGGACCACGGAACACTGCAGTATACCAACCACGGTGACTATACCGCCAACTTGGCACCATACAACTGGAAAATAAGTCGGCCAGGCTTCGTTGTACCTGGCAACCCGGCGAGAACTATTGTTCGTTTTCCAGCGGTCCCAGTGCTATCGGAAGAAAACGGATCAAAATACTAGTACGTCCTTGCACGTGTCCTTGCAGTTATGGCAGCGATGTCACCTATTTCAAGCATTGCGGTGTGCAGTGGAACATCCTCTGGAGAAAGCGCACGGTCATGTGTGTTGCAAGTACAGCAGCTTATTACCAGCAGCTTATTACCATCATCAGGATCATCAATGATCATCATCATCATCATGAACTGCATCATGACTAAAGTATGACTTAGTCTACAAGAACACCTGAGGTCCCTGCTGCTTGCCACAGGGCTTTTTAGACAAGCAAGGTCCCGGTCATCAAGGTTTACCCCTGAAAGAGCAGGCAGATTCATTCTGCCAACTCACCCATTCTGCTCGATGTACCATGATCTTCAGCTTGCATAGCATGCAGTGCTCTAGCCTAGCTTGGAACAGCTATACACGTCTGGAAGTCTGTGCACGCACACGCGTGGGCACAACTTTGATGGTGTTATGAGTAGGGCTGAAACGATTATACCAATTACTCGGTAATCGATCGATAATTCCTTATCAATCAAGTAATCGTTACGTTATAGATTACTCGTTAGGGGTTTTGAGTCCAAAAAGTACTGACAACTCACGTTTTGCGAAGTTTGAATCAGTTTACGTATGTAGTTACCTGGGACATAGTGCATATTCTGAGGTTAAATTGACTTCAAAACTGCCATGTTTCTGAGCTACCCTGTCACTAATGCAAATTTGTGGTATTATAATGGCTTAGATTTCGGAAACAGAGCAATGTTTGCACAAAATTCTGACACTATTTGCTAACGATTATAATCGATAAATCGATCGTTAAGCTCAGGAGTAATCGATAGGTGAAAATCCACGATCGTTTCAGCCCTAGTTATGAGTTATGAGACTTATGACTTCTTGAAAGTATGATTTTTTGTTTTGCTTATTCCAATAGTCGTCAGATCACCAGCTAGACAGCCTCAGCCCATAATCCTGCAAACCCAGCCATTCAGCATGCTGAAGCCAGGCGCTTGTCTCACTGTGAGCGGTACAATCATGCACTATCATGCTGTGATGTTTTGACATCCTACCATACTTTTTTTTAAGCCTCTTTTAAGCCTCCTACCAATAGTACCATGCTATGGTCAATGGTCCATAGACAGTGAGTTGAATGATCTGTATTCATCTCAATAACAATCTTGCATGATATTTATTACAAACATGTTTGCACATGGTTGATAAATATGGTGGTATGCAGCCTAGAGAGCGTGTGTGGGCAGGCGTGTATTTACCGCCATATTGCCATGCAGGCGAGTCTTTACCACCATAATAATTGTACAATCATGCAATACATACATGTACATGTACTTACATACATGTACATACCGGTACATGATTATTAAATTTTATAACAATCATATTTTGATATACATGTACCATGTGTACTGCATAGGCAATTCCCAAATCTGCTGGCCGAAAAATTCGCCGAAAACTGTGGTTTTGAAGAAATCACCGATCTTTTCGCCAAATATGCAATTTTGGGACGAAATTCGCCGAAAATCGATGTTTTTGTGCCTCAACAGCATGCAAATACCCCGGCTGTAACCATTTATGTACTGCGAAAGGTGACTGTGACTTTAGGCATTACCAAAATTGGTCAGCGGGAAAAGATGACGAAATCAATGGCTGTGAAGAAATCGCCGATAATTGAGCCGAATTTGCAAATTTCGCACTGAATTCGCCGAAAATGGATGTTTTAGTGCCTCTAAAGCATGCACGTACATGTGAATGTACACTAACTGTGTTACAAGCGGTGCTGCTTTGAGCCGAATTCTGACTTTGGGGCTGATATCTGTTATGGCCGAATTTGGACATTCTCTTAGTTTAGTCTTAGCCGACCGAACAGCTACACCGTAATACCGGTAGTACTGTGCGCGTGCATGTTCGATTTTTTTATTTTTTCCGAAAAAAATAAAAAATCGAACATGCATGCATACGCACAGTACACTGCAGTGTAGATCTACGATCGTGCGAGTCATCAATAATTATACTTTTAAGGTGGCAGTTCCCCTTTTCCGTATACTACACTCTTTGGACCAGAAGTCATGAACAGCTAGGAATATCCAAACCAAACTTGGCAGTGATGTTGAGGGTGTTCATACCTAGGTTCAGAATCATTTTTCACACATCTCACATATCTTGAAGTGCCGAACTTGCTCTCAGCCAAAATGCGTTCATATCGCACGTACAGGGCAAGGATTGAGCCAAAAGAGAACAGAGGCTAATGGTACCCAGCAGTATTAATTTGCTCAGAACTCATGCAGACTGACAGCTCGAGGTGCTAAACTAGACTAAACCTTGCAAACATATGTACAGTGGAGCATTGTGATTTTCAATTTTACAGATCAGAAACGCGATGTTTACAGATAATTCAGAGGCATGCCAGTTGGAAGAACCTCGCTGGGATATTGACAGTTCTGTTTAGTTTAGCACCTAGCAAATTTCACGTAGATGTGAATAATGCCCAAGATTATGATTCTATGACAAGTAAGCCCTGAGATATGTTGGCTCAAGCTTGTCGGAGTCCATGAAAAAGAGGGTCAAATTCAGGAAAAAGTACACTCCAGTTTCACCTTTCAAAAGCCACCAGCAGCATATGTTTCTTCTTCCTTGTGCTGTGCTTGATCCAGAAACCCTTTCTTCATTGCTCTGCAATGCTTCCTTGCCTTTTGCTCCTCTTCTGACGACTTTCTACGCTTGTGGTACAGTTTTCCTCTTGAAAGACACCTAGATTTCTCTCCAACGACGGACTAACAGTGCACCCCATACGCTGTACTACTTCGGCAAGCTCACTGTGGTCTTCATTGAACACGATCACTGCCAGGAACACAGCAGTCTCAACAGTTATGGAGCTACAGAACGATTCCTTTGGACAGAGATGTCAAATAGTGCCATTGAGTGCTTCATTGGCATTCTGTGTGGCACGGCGAACACAGCCCTGTAGGAGGGATTTGTCGGCAAGATGGACATATACAGGTTTAATTTCTTCAAAGACTGCAACAGGGATAGTGTTGTTTGACGATGAAGAAACTGCCACAGAAACATTGCCATATCCACACTTCTATTGCTGCCACCTGCACCCTGAGTCCTTCTGGGCAGAACTGATTGCATTTCTCGGCATCCTTGGACTGTACGTTGTGGCAAACAGATGCCCAAATAACACGGGCCATCGCTGTGACGAAGCCTGCAATCCTGCAGATAGCATTTCCAAAATAGTTCCGTAGGGAGTCTCCTTCCTTGTGCAGAAAGTACAATAGCGGGTCAACACTTCCACGTCCACAAAATGTGTGTGTCTCCCAAGCAATCACAGTCTGCATGCCATATAAGGAGCTGTATCCTCGTCGCATCCATGTTCCGTCCGCTGTGACGGCGATTTCGGCTGGCGATTCCTCCCCGGCTGCAACTCGTTGTGTGAACCCAACTTCAGCAGCATTATTCATGCTCAAACTTGCAGTAGCTTTAGCAGCTTGGTGAAGATTCTTCACGTGGCGCTGGTAGTTCTTCTTTGCAACCGGCGCTGGCAAATCGAGGAATGCACACAATTTCCGGAAATCCTCGCGGCCTCGTTCAAGCAGGCGCATAGCCAGTACGCTCTTTCTATTCAATTCAAAATAACTGGATGTCTTTCCCACTGCGGGCGGTGAAGCAACAGCAGTGCAGTAGTTGCATGCAACTTCAATTATGGAGACTAGGCCAGCTCTTACATTTTCTGCAAACTGCTGACGTGGACAATAAATTCTGCAATTAAATTTAATTTCTGCAAACTAAAATTCCGCTTGTCAGAATCCAGGACTTCATCACTCTCCTCACTCGAGTCTTCATTGGAGTCACCAGCGCTCTCGGTATCCTCATCTGCAAGTAAGTTCAGATCGCCAGCCAAGGGTTCACAGCTACGAGACGTGTCAGGTACTCCCAATTGCTCAGAGTCACATTCAGTTTGAGCACGAGATGCAGACTCGTTTTCTTTCTCCAGATCTCTGCGCTTGGGGCTCTGGAACTGGTTCCCGTAGAAAACACGCTTCTTGGCTCTGTAGTTAGCGGACTATCTCCTCTTATTGCCAATGACCAGAAGACAAAAGCTACAGAGAACAGCGGCTACGCCAATTTCCAAATTTTTCTGTACTTCCTTTGACGCGGATTTGCATTTTTTTTGTTCGTGCTGACAGTGACACCGTACCAGTACGCGCAGTGCTGACCTGCTGATCTGACTGTACTGCAGAGCTGAGTAGATGTACGGGTCGGTACGGGGTACAACTAAAAGCCAACACGGCACACACACACAAATAGCTGGGGGTCTTGGCACCCTCCGCGATCCACGCGGTGAACCGGAACGAAGATTGATTGCGCTTAAACTGCATTCAAGTGGAGATCAGCTGATTTTTTACAAATTCGCAGTGGGAGTTGGTTTGAATTTTTAAAATTTCCCAACCGTCGTGTTGTTTACCGCATAAAAAATTACACCAGCGGAAAGTTCATCACTTTAGGAGGAAAATGAGCCGGATATGGCCTCATTCTGACAACTTTCATTTTTTGGTCCTTTTTTTGGACCCAAAAGGGGATCTGCCAGGGGGTTCGGGACAGTTAGGCCCAAAAAATTAATTTCAACATCAGCCCAATCTGACATCAGGTTTGAATAGCTACAGCCTTATATTTTCGCTTAGTAACATCAGTTTTTCAATTGCCTGAATAGGTCTTGCCAAAAACACAATTTTCCTTGATGACACAAAATAACACAAAATCCGAAAATTGATGAGAAATCGTCCATAACACTAGTTAGGACAGAAAATATGACATAAAATTATACAGACTGTTCGAGGTATTGACTAAGATGATATCAACACCGAAAAATGTACACTTTGGTTGACGATGGGATCCAGGTCGTCATTTCCTTGAGAAGAACAAAAAGACGCAAAAAATGAAACTTTGAATATTTTTTTGCAGCTTATTTTTGAGTTTGCCCCATATGTGGATACTTCAAATACATTCTATAAGTGGGTTGGAACAGGTTTACCGTGGCGAAAATAGGGGTCACCGTGCATATTCTGGAGAAAAATCCAAAAAACTGTCAAAATTTGCCTAAAATTGGTAAATTCACGTATCTATATTGCTTGTACTTCGCTGCTGCTGCTTTGGTCATAACTTATTGGATTTTTGGCTGTTAGGTGTTGCCTAAACTCGCTAGAGCCCTCGGCGTTCAGAACAATACAAGGATGGAATAGCTGAACTAGTGAATTTGCCGGAAAACCCGGGGTGCACGCATTATCGATAGGGACTTTTCTCCATGATTACTCTCCTGTTGGTACTTGGTTTTGATACATGTACATGTGTTGGAATCTTCGGAAAGCATGCAGATTCCTCACATCCAACACCACACGACACAACAAGCCAGGGGCACCAGAATTACATGGATAAACTGAAGTTCAGAGAGAAAAAAACGACAACCGTCTTCTAACTACCAAGGGAAGAGAAGCACTTCTTGTCGAAGGGAGAATACATAAAAAGGGAGAAGAAAGCCAAAAATGGGTACGCGGCATAGGCCCGAAAGTACAACATTATCGTACCACGCAATACGGTGCGTGAGAACAACGCGCGCGGGTACGCGGGATCGGCAGAAACTAGAGTAGAGTGATTATGGATATACGGGACCAAAAAGTAAGGAAGGGTCAAGAGTACAAGTTGCGATTTAGACAAATTTGACGGAAATCTCCCGGGCATGGGGTTTGGAGTGGATACACTACACATGTAGCTGTGATAGCGCTTAGCACAGCCCCATATCAAACTACAATGAAAGCTGACATGTTGTAACGAATCAGAAAACATTGAGTCCTCTTGTTCTTCAACTATGCGAGCTAGAACGTGTTCCCACACTGGCAAAATGATGGTATTTTACGGTGCGCACAAACAAGTGAAGCGCTGTGCCACAGGGCGTTCCTTACAGTTGGGTTGCTGCTGGTTCTTGGCTAGGTGTTCAGCCACCGCTAATATAATCTTCCTTGAGGCTGTTACCCGCTTCTTACCTCTGACTTGCTCCTTCATCAGTCTGGAAATGGCTGGCTCACCATTTCGTTTGTAGGACAAGACAAAGTGCTTCATCACCAACCCACTAGCAGCTGCCCGCACTGCAACTGATTTAGAGCAGCACGTTGCTTGGACCAACGGTTGAAGGGTGGCCAGCCGCTTTTG